TGACTTCCTGATCTCCCTTCGCCATGTCGCTGAGCAGAGAGTGCTCTTACAGCATTCACATGTCCGCGGACACACTGGCCACATCGGGAATGAGATTGCAGATCAGCTCGCAAAGCGAGTTCGGCGGCAACCACCCAATACCGGTGAGAGACTCGCGCCTACGTGGCTCGGCGAGCTGTATCAGCACCCTCTTTCAGCCTGGGCGTGGGCTATCTTTCAACCTGGCGCCGACCTGCCTACTCTGTTTGCTATGGAAGCCGAGGCCCATCGGATGCAGGCTAGCCCCCAACAACCACCGCATGCTCCGATTCCCCGGTGCCCTGCCCCCTCATCTCAGACGGCCCATGTAGCCATTAAGCTACGGGCGATCAGCTACAATGTTCTTACCATGCGGGATGCTGACAAAGTGCGGCCAGGCACTGCGCCCGAAACAGGAATGAGGCTCTCAGGGCGTAAAGCCATTCTGAAAGGACAGCTGGACTCGTACCAGCCTCACTTCGTCGGCTTTCAGGAGACTAGGTTGCCTGATACCTCCACGCAGTCGGATCCCGATTACCTGATACTGCAGGCTGCTGCCACCCCTGCCGGCTCACACGGTGTGGCACTGTGGATTTCCTTGCGTTTTCCCTACGCCTATCAGGGAGGCGTCCCACTTCGCATCCAGCGGGCCCATTGCAACGTCTACGGGTACTCCCATCGCCACCTCACTGTGGACATTGCTGCGCCCTTTCTCAAGTTGGTTGTCATCGTTGCCCACACGCCTAACTCTCTTAGGCAATCAGCCACTGAAGCAGAGGTTTTCTGGCAACAACGAGCCGTTGAGCTTGCCCGACGCCCCGCCGGAGCAGATTTCCTCGTGCTGGCAGATGCTAATGCTCATGTGGGGAAGCAACCCACGGAGCATATTGGAGAGCACCAAGGGGAGCCCGAAAATGTCTCCGGCGAGGCTTTACACAGCTTCCTCCAGCAAACCGACGCTTTCCTCCCCTCAACGTTTGAGTGCTTTCATGATGGGGAGGGCCACACATGGCGGGCTCCAGGCGGCGCACTTCACCGTTTGGATTTCGTCATCGCGCCTCTCGCGTGGTCTCGTTTCGACCTCCGCTCTCAGGTCCTCTACGCCTTTGAGTCCCTGCAGGCGCGTGACGATCACTATCCGGTGATGTTAGAGGCTGCCTTCACGGTACATGCGCCGCGTGGGCCTCCCCCTGCCGGTGCCCAACGCACCAGTAGGCCTACAAAGCCTGCAGATGCTGCCCAGCGTCTACAGGTCGCCACTGTGCTTGACCAATTCACGCCACCACCATGGCATGTCGATGTTGATCGGCACTACGGTGCGCTTGCTTCGTTTTGGCAGAGTGCAGGCAGTACCCTTGCGGAGCAGTCGCACACTTCGGCTCAACAGCCCTACCTCAGCCAGCAAACTCTTGATTTGGTGCAGCTTCGCAAAGCCCTCCGTCATTACCTCCGCGCTGAGCGCGCGCAGCGGCGCTCCTGCCTTCTGATGGTTGGATTCTCGGCTTTTGTGCTCTCGGCTAGAGGTTTGCAGTACACGGAGGCCCAGCTTGCACTCATCCGTGGCTGGTTCTTTGTTTTGGACTACAGTGAAGCCGAAGCGCTCGATCGACTCCGACATCTGGGTTTCTACCTCCGACGCTTTGTCGCTGCAGATCGGACGGCTTACCTCACCTCCCTTGCCCAACAGGTGCAGCTGCAGGATGTTCGCAACCCGGCTGCTCTATATGCCTCCGTACGTCGGGCTTACCCCGTCACGAGATCTGGGAGGCGCAGCACGTATCGGCCATTGCCTGCTGTTAAGGACAGTAAGGGGTCTTTGGTTGTCGGTGCCGAGGATCGCTTAGAGGTTTGGAGGGCCTTCTTCGCGGACCAGGAGGCTGGACTTGTGGCGACACCGGAACAGTATCTTGAGAGGTTTGCCCAGTATAAGCCTCCGGCAGCCGAACCGGTTTTCGACCTGGAAACACTGCCTAGCCTGGGGGACGTTGAAGGTTTGATTCTCAACATGCGTCGCGGGCGCGCTGTTGGAGCAGATCTTGTTTCGGTCGAAACACTCCAAACCCATGTTCCCCGGACCTCACGGCAGCTACTCCCGGTGCTGCTTAAAGCTGGCATGGCTCTTTATGAGCCGCTCCCCTTCCGAGGGGGCGAATTGGTGGCACTCGCAAAGAAAGCTGGAGCAGCTTTTGAATGTCGGGAGTTCCGATCGATACTGATATCGAGCATCCCGGCCAAGGTGTACCACCGCAAGATTCGCGAAAGACTTTCGCATACCTTGCGCCAGCACCGGCACGAGCTACATGCCGGCACGCTCCCAGGTGAGGGCATAGAGTGTATCAGTCTTGCTGCCAAGACATTCCAGCACCAGTGCGAAGCCGCCCACCTGCCTTGGGCTATGGCCTTCTTTGACTTGGCCTCAGCTTTCTATCAAGTAGTTCGTGAGGCGGTCACACCTGGGTGCCATGGCGACCGTGAGCTGCTCAGCCTACTTCACTCGTTGCAGCTTCCAGACGAGGCCCTTGCGGAATTGCGCCAACACCTGACCCAGATGGCCCTTCTTCCCCGGCTAGGAGCCTCACAACATCTTGTGGCAATAGTCAATGACATGTTTCGCGGCACATACTTCTACATGATGGGCAGTACAGTGCTGACCATCACGCAGAGAGGTACCAGACCGGGGGACCCAGCGGCTGATGCCGTCTTCAGCCTTGTCATGTCTGCTTACTTGGCGCGCATCGACGCAGACCTGGTCGCCATGCGACTCGCACCTGAGGTCCCGCAGCCCTCCACACGTCATCCCTGGGCTTCGGGGACTGAATCCGCCCGGATTTCCAGCCCTGCATGGGCGGATGACTTCGTGCGCCCCTTTGCCGCGGCACACGCCAATGACTTGCTTGATGGAGTACAGCGTGGAGTCACGCACATCACAGAGCGAGCCAGCGCGATGGGCATGACAATTTCCTTTGCGCGCCTCAAAACCGCGCTGCTCGTGCCACCTTGGGTTGTGGTGCAGCCAGGCGGGCCGACGCTCCTCAACGAGGACGGGCAGCGCTACATGCCAATCAGGGACAGTCTCCGACAAACGGTTCACGAGCTGCAGCTTGTAGAATCCTACAAGCACCTTGGGGGCATTGTTGTTTCTACTACATCCCCCGTGCCAGACCTTCACCACCGTCACGCGCGCGCCGCATCGGTCGTTAAACCCTTGCAGCGGCGCCTGTTTGCGTGCAAGTCTGTACCATTGGCCACCAGACGTCTGCTTCTGCAAGCGCTCGCGCTGGCCAAATACGTGCATACTGGGGCCTCTCTCGTGCTGCCAGCGGCTTTCCACAAGCGCATTTGGGCCCAGCAGTTTGTGGGTCTATGGCGCTCGCTCTTTGTGCGTCAACGGGCTGACCGGTCAACGCACTCATATGAGGTGTTGTTAGCAGCACGCGCTCCCTCACCTCCTCTTGCTCTTGCCAAAGCCCGAGCCATCTTCCTCAAGCGGCTCACGGCGCAAGGTCCCTCCCTTTTGGCCAGAGTACTGTATGACCATTGGGCCACTTTCCCTTCGAACTCGTGGCTGGCCCAGCTGGAAGACGATGTTCGGCAGGTCTCTATGTACGTCCCCAGTGTGTCGGATGTTCTGGGCCGGGGAAGCGAAGTGCCGGGTGTTCTTGACTCCCTTCTTGAAGATCCCGCGTGGTGGCTCAAGCAGGTCCGCAAGGCAGTGCAAGTCTTCCAAGCTGATTTAAAGAGGTGGAAGCAGTCAGGACGACACTCGGCCACGCCTGGGGAAGTTCCTGATGCAACGCCGGATCGAGCCTTTGTTTGCCCTGAGTGCGGCAAGGCTTTTGTTTTGCGCAAGCACTTAGGTGTTCACATGGCACGTTCACATCAGCGTCTGGCGCCAGTTCGCCACTTTGCTCCACACTCCTTTTGTGTGAGTTGCCATAAAGACTATGGCACACCGCAACGCGTGCAGATGCATCTGAAAGGGTCGGACTCCTGCCTCCGTCGAGCGGCGCGGGTCTTGGCTCCTTTGTCCCACTCGGAAATTGAAGCGGCTGAAGCGCCCTTCAAAGCCAATGTTAAAAGACAGAAAGGCGGTCGATGGTTGGATTTTCAAGCGCCCATGCCAGCAATCCGTGTTTTTGGACCACGGGTGCCTACAGCGGACGAGCGACGTCCCGGCCCCGAGGCCCCGGAAGAGGAAGTCTGGCTTTCGCAACTTAGAGCACCCTTTGTGCCTCTACAGTCTACCCTCGATTGGATTGAGGATCACCTTTCACAGAAGTCGAGGGAGGGCCCACGTCCAACAGCTTTCGCCTTTTGGGACCAACGACCAAGTTTCACTTCAGCATGAGTTTTGGGATGCGCTCCCTCTCTGAGGTAGCTCGAACAATCCGCCCGAATACCGAAAAACTCCACCACTGGTCGGCATTCTTAGGCTTAGTAAGAATATCAGCAACTTGAAAGGAAGTGGGAACCCAGTGCACAGGAGCGCGACCTGCAACCTTCTCGGAATCCAAACTCTGGCGAAGAGCAGACAAATCAATCGCCAGCCTCCGAAAGGATCTTAGGACCCCTTCTTTGTGCAGATGATCATACAGACTTTTGCAGTCGGTGACACATCTCAGCTGTGTACCGGAAACTGCCTCTACTCGCTGAAGTCTTCCCCGCAGGATTGTCTGTACATCGGATGAACTGCCCATTTTCAATGGCCTCCACACAGATGGCCGACTCAGCACCTAGGGTAGATCGGCACTCCCTTTGGCTCGCCGCGGATTTCCAGTCGAGTATGCTTCCGACTCCTCCACCTTTCGCGTAGTTCTCCTGATCTGCAACCAGGACCTTCCTGTCGAAAGGAGTCCCAGACATCTGACCTCCATCATGCTCTGCTTGCGAAAGTCTGAACCCTTCTTCACCCGAAAGCCGTGCGTTGGCCCATGCCGCGTCATGAAAAATCGCAAACTCAAGCTGCTCTAGGTTCAATGGCCTTAACCACATCCCTTTGTCTTCGTGATCCCAAGCGCGTCTCGCCAGGAGGTTGGTGAGGCGAACGTCGCCTGCCGTAGGTTGCTGGTGCAGCTGTTGCGCGAGAGACACTCCAGATTGAAGGTCGGTTTTGGATTGCGATGCCAACCAAGAAAGAGCTCCGCGACCCGTTGCTCCTCGGTGGCATCGTCCTCGTCCTTCTGAGTACGGTCGACGGGGATCTCAAAGAGTCGACCCTCTGCATGCGCCTGCTGAGAGAGGAAGACACCCTCGTCGGAGACTGAGACCCTTGATCCCAAGTACTCAAAGTTGTCAATCGTCTCCCAATCGCCAATCGGAAACTTCTTGGACAAGTGCTTCTGATAATCTCACTGACCTCCGGGTCCGCATTAACGAGCAAGTCGTCCACGTGGACACCAATGTATCCAATGGGATAACTGACACTGTCGCTGTCGGCAAAGACAAGCTGGAACAGGCATGGATCTAAAGGATTTTGCAAGAAACGATATTGCTTCCCCTGGATCTCAATGCACAAGCCTAAAAGATCATCTCTTAGCCGTCGCCAGCACTTACGAGGAGGGGAGTCAGGTAAGCCGAAAACCCCTTTCGTAATCTTCAGCAACTGTTCTGGGTGCAGGTCCTTGAGTCCGGTGCGCGGCTGAGAGAGCCACAAGTCGCGCTCTAATGGGTCTCCGTTGAGAAATGCCGCGGTGATATCACCGGCGGATGCCTGCCAAGAAGCCGAAGCCCTCCTACTTGAGACGAGTTGCAGTAGTGTCAGCACCGTGAGTCGGTTGATCGTTGGAGCGTCAGTCTGCAAGGATTCCACGTCAGGATCACGGTGCCCTCCAGTCACTAACCGAGCTTTGTGCTTCCAAGGAACATTCTTGTCGATACGTCTTCGAGACCAAGCCTTGTCGCGATACGCGAACCTCGAAGACAAGATTCTACTCGGATGCACGGCTGCCTCACTGCGCGACTGTCCTCGATGCTCAATGGATGCAGCGCCTTGTGATCAAGGTGCTCTTGAAACTGATGATCTTCAGCTGCACGGAAGGCTTGATGTTCACTCTCTGGAATGATTCTCCAATGGAAGCTCTTTCTCGTACTGAGTATTGTTTTTCGAGGGACCTCGTTGTAATGCACCGCTTCAACATGTTAGCTGACTCAACATGTCCCGGTCCTTTGGTACGAACCCGTTTGGAGACCGGAGGAGGAACGGCCGGCCGTGGCAGTTCTCGGCGGCTTGCAGCTACACCTTCACTAGCATGTCTATCCCCGACCTCATCTATGTCTAAACGGTTCTCCTCTGCATCGAGATCATATTGGAAGTCCATGTCAATCTCCTGCTGGGGATCTTGTTGGGGATCGCCGTCGTCACCTTCATCATCTGTGCATGGCCATCATCTTGTCCATCAGGGCCATCGGGTATTCAAGAGATCGCCTAGTTCTTCTGCCGTCTGGTCGAAGATGTTCTTCGGCGACTAGATGGCACCTCCCAGAAAACGAAACCCACCAGTTTCCACCCTCAGAGCCGATAATCGTTCCAGGTCCCCTCCACTGACCTCGTTTTGTGGCTACCTTGTCAAATTCTGTAGAAGCAAACTAGCTCTCCGATCCGGTATCCACCGCGCTTGACCCTCGCACGCTGGAGAAGTGAACGACGGAGCTTGGAATCGAGCTGGGTTCTGAAGAATGCCATTCTAGCCGAGGTGCAAATGCCAGCTTCACGTTGTCTCTGTCTGTCATGGGTCATCAGCTGGATGAAACGTTCCTCGTCGACACCAGAACACAGCTCTTCAGGGGACTTAGGGTCACGACCAAAGACAGTTTGACTCGGTGAGAACCCGTGCTTCCTCCTAAGCTCATTCTTTGCACTGTTCACAGCCTGCACTGCAAGATTATGTCATCGGCAGTCGCACTCTTCTCGTCAATCACACTCTCTTGAGGATCCATGCCGCTCTATACAACCCCTTGTTGCCAGTGCGCCTCACCTGCGGGTGATCGAACACGGCATCCATGGAACGCTGCGTACTTCACGGGTTGAAGTCCCGTCTCAAGATCGGCAGAGATCGTGCCCGGAGCCCCGAACACGTTTCCCCACAGCTGGGTGAACTGCTTAGCGAAGTCCTCTCCACCATGACCCTGGAGCTTGCGCACCAACTGGAATGTCGTAGTATGATCGATCACGGAAAGAAGCTCATGCCTTGGGGCCGGGTTACTTGGAGGCTGCTGGACTCCTCTGTTTAAAGGACAGCTGCTCGTTAGGCGGACGGTGTTGTACTCGTTACCTACCGAGGCCAACAATGACAACTCATGTAAGCCCATGCCTTCGCCACCTCCGGCAACTTGCGTCCGATCTCTAGTAACCGGCTATGGGCGCTGTCGAATGAAGCATTGAACTCCCGAACAGTCTGGTTCGGCTGTCGCTGGAGTCGACGGAAGAATGCGGTGAGGGTTTCGGCAATCTTACTCACCTCAATCTCCTGTACCTTCCTGAATCCAATCTCGAAAGATCTGCAAGCCATCTGGACCCGAAAGAGCTTCGACCGACAACTCCTCGCTTTCAACCCAGGCAATTCCTTCAAGATGTTGATAAAGAAGCAATGCTTGTTGATGTCGGGGAGTGCGGGTAACTTTGGACCAAGCATCTATCTGTCGAAGATAGGATCTCGCTCTCTGTCCTAAGGAACCCCCTGTGCCCTCAGCATTTTCAGAATGGACTGACATCTTCTCTCCAGAGGATGGGCCTTTGCCGTCCTCAGGACGGCCAGTCACTGCATCCTGATCTGATCCAGGCATCCATGTTGTCGATTTGGCTTCGGATCCCGTCCTATGTCGAGGCTCATCATGGGCCGCTTCGCCTTCATCATCATGCCCGCTGGTCGATGTCTGCTCCGGTGATCTCGGCGCACCGTCGGATGACTTGTTCGAGCGGACATCTCCGCCCTCGTCAGAGCCATGCTGCTCCGAGGTGTGGCCAAAATGGCCTTGCGTCGCTCCGTATCCCCAGGAGCGATCATAGTAGTGTGGTTGATTCCAACCTCCAGTCCCCCATGAACACCAAGGTCAAGTAACACTGTGCCCAGGCATCTCCCCAAGAAGAACTGCGACCATAATCAGTCCAAGACCAACTGTTCGAAGCATCCCGTGTCTGACCTCAAGCACTCGCAGTATCCGGTGGGCCTCCCTGAGGAGGGCTGTTCGACCACCATTCACAGGAATAGGATTGGTTGCCACCGGCGGAGAGGAAGTACTGTTGTCTGCAGGTTCGCCGGCAGCGTGCTGATTCTGACGCTGTCGGGACGTCCAACCAGCCACAAGGACCACGAGGAACAAAACCACGAAACCAAGACCCCGCCCCTTTCGCCTCCGCAGAAGGAGCTGCACGCGCTTTGGCGTCACTCGAACCATCACCCTGCGGTCGTGCCGCTCGGTCTTTCGCCTTCAGACGCAAGCTTGGTTTGACAAGACTACGCGTGGCGGCATACAGTGGCATTACGGAGGCACGGTGCGTCGCGAAGTTTGTGGCGTCCTCGGATGTGGCACCGTATTGTGGCATCACCGGCGCAGGTGGCGTCAAATAGCCACAAGGTGTCGCCAGATGTGTCGTCAGGACGTGGCGAAACGCAACGGGCTTCATGAGCTCACATGACGTCACGCGGATGTTGCGTCAAAGCGCGGCGTCAACAGCTCACGTGGCGTCACAGGCCCGCTTGTCTTCAACAACGTGGCATCAGAATGTGGCGTCAGGCGCCGGACGTGGCCGCAGCACGTGGCGCCCACACGTGGCGCCAGGGGGTCGGGGCCTTCCGAGAATGTGTCTTGAGGCGCGGTGAGAAATGTGCACCCCCACGGGTGATTGGATTGTTTGTCAGCTGACTGATCGCGACGTATATGACACTGCGACAGTTGTTTGAGGACTGGAGTGCACCGTCTTTTAATTGAATGTTGTGTGCAAATTTCGTAATTAATGTCGGAATGAATAATTTGCAGACACCGTTAACTTCACCTTGACTTCCACACTAGTTCGCGTAGACATCGGTGAATGATGGTGAGCATATTTACCAGATGCCCCCCCTTTTTGGGCATTACGCCAAGCGAACCGTCAGTCCAGTATTCGTAGCTGAGAAGCTTTTTGTCGTGTTGTGCAACTTGCGTACAAGTGTATGACATCAAAGCGCGCCAGCAAAGTGGATGCCGAAGGTCGAGGACATCGCACTTCAGGGAGGTTGACCAGCTCCGTTGACTGGTGAGAACATGAAGGAAAGAGAGCAAGCTACCACCATTCGTCTGATGCCCGTGGACAGTTCAACATGCATCAACATGCGCTGCGATCGCTGCGCTTATGCGTTCCGGTAAGGTTCCGCCTTGGCACCGTGTGCATTGGAAGGGAGGGAGGAAGGAATCATGGAAGGAACGGTGCAGGTTTTTGATTCAGGTCCTTGTTGCACTTGAGCCCCACTCCCAAACAAACACCGAAACAACCGGAGGAATATGTCAAGCCGCTTGTAGTCTGGCTCACATGCGGTTTCGGGCAATTCCTGCCACGAATTCCGCCCGAGTGAACCGCGGCCGTCCAGGAATTCTGGTTGTGAGCAGACCCTGTGACTAGGCTGTGGTGCTGATCCTTCAAGGATCGAAGGCTGGTGCTGCAGGCGGATGCATGCTTATGCAAGTTTGATCTGCGACTCTCCGGCCAGGGTCCGGTTAATCCTGCGGGACCAGGCCTTGGGGCATCACCACAGACGCAGGCCGTGGCGTGCTGGCGTGTTACTGGGAATTTGGAAGAGCAGAGTGGAACATCCGTGGCCTTGTTGCTGTGGCCGTTTCGGAGCATTTGATGCTGAGCTGTGTTTGGTTCTGGCTGCATCCATGATTTGTCCCCGTGCCAGCGGGTGCTTCCCGTTGCTTGCATGTCCCTAAATTCGAGTTTCCCGTGCCATGGCACAGCAGCTCTCCGGGAATCTCAACAACATGTGTGATATCAGGGTTTCATTGTATTCCATGTCACTCTATCCGCGCAGATTTTGTCCATCATCACTTGCTTTTCCCCTTCTGCACTGCACCTGGGTACATCTCGTGTGTGTAGATCCTCGAAAGCAAAGCATTGAAGAGCTGGGTTCGCCGACTGTCGATGGCTATGCAAAGAATCTATTTGACTGTAATTGGAATTTCGGCAGATCTAGCCGCTGCGGAGACCTGGTTCACCTGTAGCAGTTGACCATGAGATACCATGTATGTGAACCTACCTTGCAGCTCGGGTGTATCGCCGCGGGAGCCGCGCACGAGATGCGACCAACTAGAGCTAGCTGTCGCGGCCGGAAACACACACACTCCTTCACCATCCCAGACTGTTGATGGACGCAGAGGAACTTGTCGGAAAGAGTCGCTGGCGGCTATTGAGGATGCTGTTTACTAGAGGGGTAGCAGGGTAGCACCATGTGGCAATGTAGCAGTTCTCGCCCCGTGACTCCACAGGCAGTGGCAAGCGGTACCTTCCTCCTCGGCTTGCGCACGCTGGGATTGCCCTGTGTGCTGGCCTCAGGATACAGGTATTCAATGCGGAAGTATTTTGCCCTTTGCCAACGGTAGCCTGGGCAACTGTCCCGGTATCAAGAGAGCTGTGGCATGATCATGCTCAATGTCCTGGTGAGTGTTTGCAGCAAGTGAAAGAGTTGAATGATGTTCGGCCAATCCCCGCTTGCACGGCTTTCCCAGATCGCCACAACACTTACACTGCCAGACTTGCATTCAGCATCCAACTTTATCTTGCCGGCTGGAGAACGGCCGAAGCCGAGGCAAACCGAGAGGGTTGCGAGAAACAAACAGCCTCCCGACATGTGTGGTGAAACAGAACGAGCCGTTTGTCTCGTTTTTTGTGCAGAAAAGTCGGAACCGTGCAAACTCATCGCATCTTGACAGCACGACTCATTATTCGGAGCAATAGGCCCCGCTGCCATTCAAACTGTTGCAACATTGCAAGGTGGCCGCCTGCTGCGGAAAGGTCGCTGGGCCGGCCTGGGGTTTGATGCTGGCTGCGGACAGAGCTGTCAAGTGCAGTTGGCTAGCGGTGAGCAGTGGGAAGTGGGAAGAGGGGACCTTTACTTTCGAGAACCTGGCGAGGACTACCGCATCGCTGGAGCCCAGGATGATCTCGGCTTTCAGCCAGCTCACCTTTGTGCAAAGCCGAGGCCTCGGCAACTTCCAACTTCATCCTACCCATTTGGGGACCTCCTGAATGCTTCGGAGACTTGGTTGGGCACACAGCTGCAGCCTCAGTTCCAATAGTGCAGGCACGTAACTTTGTCGGCAAATGTTGGCGAGGCATTGAGTGTCTTGCAAGGTAGCCATGCAACTCTGCTACAATCAGGGACCTGTTGCTTGGACGCAAGAACGGCTGCGAGTCTGCAGGTTTCGCTGTAGGCTGAGGTAAACCAAGTTTGTGAGACGTCCTGTCGGTGGGATGCATGTGCTAAAGCTGATTTGAGTCAAAGGTCAACGCCTTGTCCATGCTCGAGTACGGAGTTATCCACCAGTGCCAGAGAGGACTCGCCTGGATATGGAGCATCTGTATGAACGATTTATGAAGGACATTCTGCGAAAATTTCTAGTGGCCTTTTCGACACTTGGCTCAGACCAGGACCAGTCCTAGACGCAAGCAAAACGCGCGACCTACGGACCTGAACGAAGAGATACGCACGAGACGAAGCCCAACGGCGAGCTGTGGTGTCACAACGACTTAGTAATGCACGCATTCGTATGTTTGTCAGGTAGGGCCAAGTGAAGTCTCATCTCTCTAGCAATGTGGCAGCTTGTCTGTTGAAGTCAACTGCGAGAAACTACCTGCTTCATCAGGGCCTTACTAGGGAAACGAGACCATGCATCGCGTGAGTTCATGAGATTCCCTGCAGAGTCCTAAGTCACTGCGACAGAAGCCTAGGTTCGCCAGAGAAATGAATCAATGGGTTCATTTCGACAACCTGCTTCGAGAGCGGAAGTGAAACCAAATGCAGACACTCAGAGCCCTTATCATGTTCGCTGACTTCTCTATCGGATTTCGCTTGCGACCATGCCACACGAGTTGAAACACTTGCGCCTCAAAAACGGATCTAGCGAGAAGCTTCCAGACAGGCCGTGCAGCCGCCGCCACCCAAAAGACCCAGACAGTCCTGCCGCTTTGTGATCCACAAGCAAGGGTCCACAAGTTCGCGGATCGTACACGTGGGCAACAGACTGCACTGAGCATACTGAGCCTGTAACAATCAACGCCGCAATTTGCCGCGCCCGGAGTTAACCTCCGATGATTGAGTTTGGTTTGCATCTCGAGGTTCTAGAGTTTCCGAGTCACTAATTGCGCTGCAAGGCTATAAATCAGCCGATTGTCTGGCCCCGACATGACGTGCCTCTGCATCCGACCAGCATCACATCGTCTGCTTCACCTTTTGGGCATTTGTGCCACGAAGAACTGTCTCTTTGCTGCATTTTTGCAAACGGATACGCGCTGCGTTCAACGGGGCGGCAATGTCAATCCTTCCGACATAACAAAGAAATAGTGTTGGCTGGCAGTGCGCACGGGTAGTACCACCAGCAAGAGTCTGTCTTGGAGGCTGGACTCAATCAGTTTTATCAAAACTGGGTCTCTGCTGCATGCACTTGGACAGCGGTGCGGTCTTCTAGGCTTTCGGGTCTTGACAACGCCGCCAAACGGGAGTTCAATTGCAGTGCCCTGCACAACCGAAGAGTCCTCTGCTCCGAGCCTCCGCGAGGGCTAGAAATTCGACAAGCAGCGTTCTTCAGGGCTTTGCTTCGATTTCCGGTACTTGGGCAGGAGATGAAGACACCAAAAAGGCAGCGGCGGAAGTGGCAAGGAGCGACAGCTCAGTTTCTTTTCTGCCTTGCGTTGGCCGTTTGGCCCCCCTCAACAGCCCTTCTCTGTTCGGAGGAGGATCGCTGCAACTCCTGCACTGGCTACTGGGCAGCTGTCAGACATCGAGCCCGTGAAAATCCGTGATGTGGGGCTGGGATCTGGGCCCCTGTGCACTCCTAGGCGTGTCACCAAGCCACTGCGATGCTCAGCCCGGCCATCGAAAAGTACGCGTCCATCGTGGCCCGTGGAGGCGCGAAGCGTTGGCACCCCATCCTTGCTGTCTGCACTGCAGTGCACTATGCAGGACTGCGAGCTTAGAGTCCTGAACGTAGCTGGCTGATGCTTGGCAACTTGGATGCCTTGGCCATGCATCAGCGGCCCTGTACCATCCTCGCGAAAGGCTGGACGAAGTGAGAAAATCTTCCACAGATAGGCAGACCACTTAGATGCAAGATGGTATTCCTCGAGCGCTGCATCGGTGTCTCTTCCGCAGACCAGAAAGCGGCTGGAGTAAAAGACAGGAGTTCTCGAAAGTTTTCCGGGAAAGTTTTCTTGTGTTTTCCCCTGCGCAGTCCCTGTGTTTACAAACTGGTCTCGGCCTCGGTGCTGGGAGCTCAAAGCTCAAAGAGAAGGAAGTGACGAAGTTTCAGCACTTGCCACTGTTTTCTATGCGAGAGTACTTGTGGTATGTGGATGTGGGTTAAAGGCTTTTAAGCAGCAGTTGCACCTTCAGTCCCAACCCCCAACCCGCCACCGTGAGCCGCACCTGCATTCTGATACTTTTTGATCCTGACAAGTTGAACCCCATGGTAGCACCGCAGCACCCATGATCATGGCCTTTCCAGCTCCAACCTTGCGAAGGTATCTTGCAGGGGACAGTGTGGGAATCGGCTTCCTTAAGACACGAGAGCTCGGAACGGTCTGGGCAGGCCTCTGCAGAGCGTGATGCTCATCCGGCGAGGCTACGCAATACCTGCTTCGCAGTTTTCGCTGACGGAAACGTGACAGAGATGCATAGAGATGCACTGGGTTTGCCGACGGGCACTCCAACTGCTGTCTTTTGTGCGAAGCAGTTGAGCCTCAGGAATCTCCAGGATAGCTTTGGGACGCTTATTTCCGTCCCATCCAAAGCAGCAATACACTGTCCGGACGTGGGCCGAGTCTTGCGCAGCAAGTGGATCGAGAGGCGACTGTCGGGCCCCTGCTCATTCTCGCGATTTCTCTCGCTTGTCTTGCGGCTCAGATATCTCAGCTTTCGCTGAGGCTTGTGATTCGTGGCCTTCCCCGGGACCTCACGCCGCATGACCTTGTGACCCTCAGCGGACACTTTGGCCCATTGGGACCTGTGCCTGCAGGCCAGGGGCTCCAGTCATCTTGCAGTGGACATTCCAAGTCCAAATCTTACAGCATCTTGAACAGACATTCATTCCTTGAAGCCTGCGGCATACCCACAGGCCATACAAAAGCGACACTGGTCAGAATCGATCTTGACATAAGCACTAAGTGGCAAGCAGCGATGCTGTCAAATGCGCAGGCCGAGCTCATGCATCTCTCGGCCCAGGCCATCGTCAGACGCACTTTCATTTGATTAGCCCGTGTACGAGAGATGCGTTCCGCAAGGACACGCAGGTCGAAATCTGTTGACAAAAGGCAGGCCGCAGGCCCCAAAACAGAAAAAACCGGGCTCGTCTGAGAGCCTCAGGCCGTCCGAGGATTCCGTGTGACTCTCCTTTTCTGTAGCTCGGTTTCTGTTATCACGAAAGCTCCTCGTGAGGCAGCATCGTTCAAAGGAAAGAGTCCGTGGGACCACTGGGCCGGTTTGGCTGTTGAGACCTTTTCTGGGTCTTGCTCGCCGAAGTTCCTGGATTGGGAGCATGGTAGTCATGATGCTGCTGATGCTCGCCTGTACGGGTCCTCTTCGTCTCTACACATCAACGAACACTTCCCGGTCATCTATACTCAGTGCTTTGCAAGCCAGGCCGCTACAAAAATCGCGACATCGCTTTGCAAGACAGATGACTCTTGTATCTCTTCCCCAAGTTTGTGCGCGAGCAACCGGCACTCCTTACGATGCTGGCAAAAGCTAAAGCTGGCCAACCCACGGAACCCCTGAATTCGAGAGTAGATAGACTTTTCGTCCGAAGCCTTTGACGGTCAAGGTCAAGCGCATCTTGCCAAGATTCCTGTGACAATTGATGTGCCTTCGTGTTTTGAATGCCGTAGGACCTGTAGGAGCATCAACCTTTAGCGTGAGTCCAGGCAATGCTGTACTCCGAATCGGGAATGTTCGTGATGAAGCGGGCAACCTCGTCTCCCAGCCATCGTCGTCAAAGGATGGACCCGTTGGATTCGGCCACCCACTATTGATCAAATAGCAAGCTTGAAGTTTGTCCAGGACGAAATTCTGGCCAAGGATGGCTCCTGCCAATACCGTCCCAAAGATCGGTTGCCAGTTTGGCACACAGATGGCACTTTCAAAGAGACGCCAGAAGCAGGCCATGTGGGAAGTCCACACATGATCGCACATGCCTGCATTACACCTTGGACAAGTAGAGATGTACCGCTAGCTGGCGAGTGTGCCTTTGCTTCTGGAGGGGTTGCATGGCGCCTCTGGCAGGCACTGCACTGTTCTGCCGCCAGGCACCTCCCTGCGGTGGCGCGACGTGTTTTGCTGATGCAGTAGCAGCATGGAGCGAATTGTCCGTGGAGAAGCAGGAACGTTTACAGATGCTAGCAGGCAGATTACCAAGAGGGGCTGGCAGCGGATGCTAAAGCATCAATACCACGCTAACGTTCGCTACGCACACCCTTCCATTCCAAATTGTGTTGGTGATTGTCATGAATCCCCATGTTTCACGCGTGGAGTGTTTTGGCGCGTGCTCGTCTGCTTGGAGTTCGACTGCCCGAGAATCCTAGAGTGAGCCCACTAAAGTAGGAAAGGAAAGAGTTCTTTATATGCCGTTCGCGGTGGTGGGGTCCGCGATCCTCGATCTTGTGATATCTCGAGGAAACTGATCTGCATCTGCAGCTTGGCGCACCACGACGCGAAGATCAGAATTCGCAATCCGGCCTATCCAGTGATGCCGCATGAGGATACACGCTGTCACACCAAGTCTTGTACTTCACAAAGCAGTCGTTGGTGATGGCAGAAAGTGAGCGAACGAACGACCCAGGTGAGAGAGCAACACAAGGTTTCATCTTACGCGAACTGTACCGCACCTATCTGCTGGCACTTAGTCTGCTGTAAGCTCCGTACCTCTACTGTACCAGTTGTCACCATGTTGTCATTGATTACTTCGCATCATCGGTGCATGCGTCCACTCTTACGCGCTCGCAGTCGGCGTCCCCTGGAGGAGCGATGCAGGAATCCCGCACGCCGTGTGCCCCTTTGCCTCCAGCATCCAGAGACGAGTGAGCATTCCATTTATGGTATCAATTCCAGCACGTGCTCGCTCGTCGACAAGGGGCAAGATGCTTGACTGCGGTCAGCATGTCAAGACGGAGCAGCAAGGTTTGTCCTAGCTGCAAATTGAGGAGATGTGTCCTTCCAAGCTGCGGCACTACGAAGAAACCGGCGAGGAGGATGAGTCTGCGCCGTGCCTGCACCTAAGAGCATGTTCACTTGTCTTCACTGTTGAGCTGCGTGCGCAGCTCAAACATCTGGGCCCTCTAGGTCTGCGCATGTCAAACATCTAGCTTTGACTGCTTGCACAGTCAGCGGATACCTCTTCAACATGAGACATGCTGCATACTGCATACTGTTACCGCAAATCGCAAGCCGCGGCATCTGTAGAAGTGAAAGAGGTGCATGGGCAACGCAAAGATGAAGCTGATCTATGGTCTTACAATCTGATAGCAACAGCCAGCAGTCCCACAGTGTCGATAGAAGGAGAGCCGAGGTTGCCATACTTCGGGATCTCTTGGTCCATGCCACTGCACCTCAATTTACGATCGTGTGGAACTGGCTGCCTGGAGACTTTGCAATTTGCGACACTCGGTCGACCATGCATTGTGCCACCTCGTACGATCAGAACTTCACCCGGGAAATGTGGCGGACAACGATAATGCCTGATCCACGCTTTGCTGTCAGCTTCGAGGCTTGCTGAGTCCCACGAAGACCGTGGGTGCATCTCAGTAGCAGAAGGTTTTCAGAGCAGTCGCACGAAAAAGGAACGAACAAGGACCGGAAGGCCGATGTTTTCGGTTTGGAAGCTTCACAAACCTGGTTCGCCAGTGAGTCACGGACACGATCTGATGAAGGGCCTACATTCTGGTAGGTGGCCATCGTCTCGTCCTATTCATTGGGGCCCTCATGCATGTCCTCGTGTTTCATTCCATTTTTCATTCCTGACAGGCTCAGTATTCAGGCCTTGTCATCGGGAGTCTGCCAGCTTAATTTCGTTCTACATCGACTCCGCTTTTTGGTATTATGGCGTATCGGGTACATTTGCTGTTGAAACAGGCAGCAGCATATTTCGAGTACTGGTGTACTAGCCAAAATTAACACGCCATGTACCACATCTCACCATTCGTAGCGGAGAAGAACTCGCACTGCCATCCTTGCATACCCGCTACTGCCTATCCGCCGCATGGCCTCCGAGATCGGGGAGCTTGGCAAGGATTCTGGGGAAATCCGGATCTGCTGGGGCTGATTTGGACCTGGTCATCACGATTCATGGGTTTTAGGTTCTGTCCCCCGTATTCCCTGTGAGGTGTGTCTTGCGAGAGTTTAACAAGTGCTCCCCGCGTAGACCGTTGCCCTATTCGAGATGTTTCAGGTTCTTGTGAGTATTTGTTTTCTGTGGATCTAGAGCCGCTTGCAGAACTCGCCGCAAGACTTGTGCCTCACGGGCCCAATCTTTATGTACTCTTGCAGGGAACCCCGGCCAAACTGATTGTTGCTATAGTCCTTGCATGGAAAGTCTAACTCCGTTCCAGGATCTCCGAAGCATGCGGCAGCAAGGGGCAGTGCTGACCCTCATGCAGGCGCGGGTCCTGCAAAGTGCCTTGCAGCTGAAGGCAAGGACCGTCGTCCTGTATGCTCTGCAGGTTCATGAAGGTACTAACTTCAACAAGCGGATAGAGACTCAGAGAAGTCTGGGAAAAGCCATGCACCCCGTGTGACACAGCTGCGTCAATTGCATTTTGTTGCGGCGTGCAGCAGCTCCATGTTCCCAGCTGCACTGGTATGTGAGTCGTTTGATTTGACTGAACTCACGAGCTGCGAGTTTTTCAGTTCCTCCGCACGTTCCTTGCAAGCGGCAGATTGAAGAAGAGAGATGTGGGAGGTGGGAGGTCTCGTCTGACGGCATCGGCCG